CTCTTTTTAACGGCTTACTTTCCTGACCCAAGTCCCATCTCTTGTTATTCAGTTCCACCCCACCATCTCCCCTCCTTGTGTGATCAGCAGGAATGATCAGGATGGCTCTACCCAGGTCTGTTCTACCATTTTCCTGCTCAGATGGGTTACGTCAATCCTAGCTCTCCTGTGTAGACAGACCATCCTAAATCATACTCCAAAGATACTCAATTAAAAGTTGATTTTGGCCGTGGGTAATTACCCTACACAAGATAATCTTTAGGAGAGAGAAAGCAAATATTCCAAGAAATAGTGGTTAAAAACTTCTCAAATTTGATGGAAAACATTGGTTTATGTATCTTAGAAGCTCAACATACTTCCAACAGGATAAGCACAGAAATCTATACCCAGATGCATCATAGTAAAAATGTGGAAAGACAAAGATGAGAAGAAAATCTGGAAGGTAGCAAGAGAAACCTGAGCCATTTACAAGAGAAAGCCAGTAACATCACCAGCTGCCTTATCAGAAGCAGGTGCCAGAGGCAGCCAGATGGCAAATCCAAGCACTCAAGGAGAGACCAAGCCTTCTGCACCCAGTAAACCTGCTCTGCTTCAGCTCTGAAGCAAGCCTGTCCAGTAAATAAAACCTGAAAAGTCACTGCTGGCAACCACCTTCTGAGGAACACCGACGCAGGCGACATCTAATCCAGACAGACAGACGGCACTATATAGGGTCAGATAACGGTGTAAGGCAGTGCTCACATACCACTGCTTCCTTCTGCTTTTAACTGATTTGTAATATAAAACGATATGCACATAATCATGTTGCTGGGCCCATAACATCTAAAAGTATGATGTTTACCATCAACAGCGCGGAGGAGGTAGGAACAAAGCCGCTTGGAGTGCGAAATGCTAACAGACGGTAAAGAGCCCATAGGAGAAGAGAGAGCCAGAAACGGTAACTATGAAGGTTATTCTCATAGGCATTGTGAGTTTAGACTTGACCTCCCTTCTTCCTGTAGTTTTTTTAAAAGACAAAAAAAATTATATAAAGTCACAATTACAACAGTGTTTTTGAGTTTATATTTTGAATGCAGGGAATCAAACTAGCATAAATCTGAAGCAGGCTTTAAGGATGTAAAAATGTCTATCATAAGACCTACATTTTCGAGGGCAACCACTAAAGAAATGACTCGAGAAATACATGATAAAGAATTAAAATGTTACATTAGAAAATACTTAACACCCAAGAAAGTAGTAGAAAAAAAAAACCATGAAATGGCAGGTGCAGTCCCAGGGTATCAGATAGCTATGAGGGTATCAGTCATGTGGCCAAAAGGCAGACATTGTGGAAGGGGCAGGAGTTGTGATCCATGAATGCAGTCTGCAGGAAAGCATCCTTTCACTGGTACAGTCTGAAAGTAAAGAGATGAAATGACCTTGTGTCATGCAGACAGCACCTATGAATAAACAGTAGTGTGGTTACCCTGGAAGCAGAGAAAAGGATGTTAGAACAGAGAACAGCAGAGGTGAAGTACCTTTCACAGTAACACAAAGTCAGTCTGTCAATACGCACCATACGTGAGAGCTCCAAAGCTGACAAACTTGAAGAAAGCAGTAGACAGTTGGACAGAATTAGCCAGAGCCGTGTCTTCCTTCAGCAGTGGCGGGAACAGTGAAGCAGACAGAATAGATATGGAGGATAGGAATAGCACAGAGGACTAGCCAAACCCAGCAGACCTTAAGAGGAAGACAGACCAATCCTGAATGTCACTAGGGAATGTCAGGGACCCATGCAGTGGCAGCAGCCCTGGAGAAGGGTAAGCGGAAGGGTACATATAGCCCATGTCAAAACTCCATTTAGGGCAGTGTAGGGTTGTGTCCATTGTGTTGCTGGTGTATAGCATTGACCCTTGGAGCAGGGTTAGAAGTGAGCCCAGGGCCTGTGGGCAGCTTGCCCTGGAAGGGAAAGGCCTGAAAGAATTAGAAATGCGACTGGATTGTAAGTGGTCCTGCGATGCCCACCTGCATGTGAGCTTGCAGGTTTGTCACAGTGAATATTAAGGGCTGGGGATTTAGCTCAATGGTTCTGCTGCCTACCTCACAAGTGCAAGGACCAGAGTTCCATCCCCAGTGCCAAAAACAAAACAAACAAACATGGTAAATATTAAATTACAGTATTTAATCATTAAGTCATAGTAAATATTATCCTGCAAATACAGGATAATACTTTTGGGGGGACACACATGTTGTGACTGTAGAGTATGTGTCCCTCAGTATGCTTGTTCTGGTACTGGTTTTAGGTTTGCCAATAGGTCAGATTTCAGGAGAATATACTTGTTCTTTGCTATACACAGTGCTTCTGCTTTCTGTTTGCAAAGATTTGCTTGTTAGTGTTTTTATAGCCACATGAACATAACTCTTTTAAAAGTAAGAGAGGGGCCAGGGATTTAGCTCAGTTGTTCTGCCGCCTGCCTTGCAAGCTCAAGGGTCTCAACTTCAATTCCCGGTACTAAAAAAAAAAAGTAAGGAGCCTTTTGCTGACACTCACTATGAGCAAGTCAGGGGGAGTCTAAGGTAGCATTTGATATGCCCAACAAAAAGCTCTCCATGACATTCCCTGAAAGGACACTTTGAACTTACAAAAAGGAGCTGCTGAGCGCCCCCCCAGTGTGTTTTTTTAATTCCCATCTTTAATGAGAGACATTGGGGTTTTTCTCATATATGAAGCAGCAGCTCTTACCCTGGTTGAGTAGTTGATAGCATGAGGAGCTTGGCCTGTAAAATCCCCACAGTGGAGGCCAGGCTCTGGACAGAGAAGGGTGTGCCTCTCCCACTCTGCTGGAACACCTCCCATTTGTTCTTCTGTGATGGAATTCCAGGGGGACAGATGCTGGATCACCACAAAGCCATGCAGGGACTCTAGCTTTGGATCCTGGTGCTTCTCAGTATGCATATGCAGGATCCCTGGCAGTGCCCAGCTAGCTTGCTCTCTTGGCCAGCAATTCTGTTGTGCATCTTGCTACTTTAGCATAATTATGCACTGTTGGTGCCCTACAGTCCCTGTAGTTGGTGCCAGATGCAGGCCCAGCCTCATTTTCATCCTCCCTGATGAGAAGAGCCTGCTGTGCCCAGTTAGTTTCTCAGTGAAAACGCGTAGGAGGATTGATGTATTTTGCTCAGTGTTTTGTTGCTCCTTAGGTGCAGACCCATGCACACATAGAGCCAAGATCAGCCTTCATGATAAAGTAGAACGCAGACCATATGAGGTGCTGGTGTTTTCTGTGCCGAACCAACCGAGCTGATTGTGATCAGCAGTTTGAAACGTGCATTTTTATAGATTCCTAGAATCTCATTGGATTAGAGGCTGATTTAAAACAAGAGTCTATTTATTAAGATAGTTTTACATCTTTTTGGATAGTACACTTTAGGCGCTTATTCATGTGCAGTATAACAACAGTGTGTTCATAAAACTGAAATATTGGGGAGGAAATTTACATATATTATTCATATTCTTGCCATATTCCAAAATTAAATCTGTTAATATTTCTGTATGGAATTGTGCAGCTGATTGTAAAAATAAAATATAAATATTTCATGTTTTGCTAAGAGGAAATGAAGCTGGTGTCAATTATAGACATTATCACAGCTTCTAGCTGTTTCTAATTTTTTTTTTTTTGGGGTACTGGGGATTGAACTCAAGTCCTTGCGCTTGCGAGGCAGGCCACCGAACCGCTGAGCTAAATCCCCGGCCCCTGTTTCTAATTTTTGATGCAATTTTTAATTACTAAAAGTAATCATATTATATTTTATACTCCAAACATTGTTTCACCAAGAGTGAAGGCTTTGTTCTGTTCTTAGTCAAGCTCTTCACGTACTTTATTGCAGCCTATAAAACCAAGAAGGGTTGAGACCTGGAGGTGATTTCTGCACCAGGAGTTGTCACCAGTGGCCTGGACCTGCCACACCTGTCTGTTCCTTTTCTTCTGGACCTGTGGTCCCCAGCTGTCCCTTCTCTCCATGGTCCTGCCATTCCTAGTGAGCGCTTGCACTCTGCTTCTCCTGGTTTCCTAAGAGTTGGAGCCATTGAGTTCTCATGTCCGACACATCCCCGTGTAAACCTTTGACCTGTGTTTCAATGAAAATCATTCATTTCTAATGTGCATAAAAACCATAGCTCTGAGCATGCGCTATCCCCATGCACATCTGATATACGCTTGTGGGGTCCATATTTGGCATTCTTCTTTGGCTGCCTGTAAGACTACCATCTCCTTGGTGATCTGATGGTATTAATAATACCCATCTAACCTGTTTCTCATGAAAATGAAAAGAAACAGCACCAGCACACCTGGATTTACATGCAGTATGGGGGTGCTAGCAGTTTCTGCAAGCTGGTCCTGATTGGAGTGCGGCCTGAGTGTGGGCAGCATGGAGCCGACAGGGTGGCCTGCCATGTACCTCAAGCAGCCACCAGTGCAGTTCTGTTTTCCAGAAAGACTGTTGCTAACATTGTCATCCACGTAAGATGTCTGTTTTAAAAGTTAATCTCATCAAGGTCTATAACTTCAGATTTCTTTATCTAAAATACAATATTCTGTTAGCTTTGGGTTTTACTCAAAAACAATATTCCAAATTTGTTTCTCTCTAAACCATATACTTAATTACTGGTTTGCAACATCAAATTGATCTTCAAAAACATGGACAGCTAAGACCAGAAAAAATACAGATGCTTGACAAAATCTAGCCTCCATACCCCAGCTAGATCATGTCATTGACCCTGGGGAGTAAGAATGAATTTCAGAATCTAGACTAAATTTGCCACTTATTATGGGGTGGGCTGAGGAAACTGGCCTGGTGCTCCAAGAAAATGGAGCCTTTAGAGCTCACCACATCGATGTGGATCTATGAGTGTCGGTACCCTTGCACAGCTCCAAGAGGTGTGGGATTTGCACTGCTATGTGTGAGAGGTGAAAATTGTCCCAGACATTATTGACATATGACACCAACCCATTCTACCTCAGGTAGAAGACCCATGTTACACTGAGCAGTGGTCACCACCTCCCTGGCTGGCTCATCATGCTTACCCACTGGATGTCACCAAGACCTGCACACACAGGCCACACCTTCCTCTCCCCCAGCAGCATCATCTAATCCAAGACAACAACAGTGGAACTACACAATCTAGTGCTTTTACTATCTTCCATGTTTTCAACCTTTAAATCAAAGTTATTCCAGTGGCTTTGATTTTTTTTCTAGTCTTTAAGTTTTACTAATAAAATGCTAAGTCTTTGCATGTTAAAGTTACTATAATTGAGTTCTCAGTTAGCGCACTGTATATGTGGAACTTAATTTTTGTGCTGTGCAGTGGTGAGTATTCTTCGGAAGGCAGCGTGCTGGAGTCATGGCAGCTCTGTGTGCTTGCTGTGAACCTGCTCTGTCAGGAGACATTGATGAGATCAGTGCTACAAGAGAGGTTTCAGGAACCATCTATTTTCGGGTATGAATTTCAAGACTCCTAACTGTGTCAGGACATGGGTTTCTTATTTAGGCCATGATGATAACATATTATTAGGAAAGCAAACAGCTGGTTTCACAACACAAGCCCATGCTGTGTCACTGCCTTTGAACAGTGTTTTAGTTTAGGAGTTAAAACCATCTTTCCCATAGTCTTCATCTTGGTCCTGTGGATGCTGTTATGGTTTAGATCTAGAATGCCCCCCAGAAGCTTTATATGTTTAGAGGCCGGGCTTTGAGAAGGTGATTGGATGCCCTCTTGAGGGCACTCTGCTCATCATTGGCTTGGTGGCCATTGATGAGTTAGTTATTCAGTAGCTGAATGTGCTGTTAGGAGGTGGGGCCTCGTAGGAGGTGGGTCACTGAGAGCATTACCTGAAAGTGTGTACTCTTGCCCCAGTTCCTCCCTTCTCTTTGCATCCTGGCTGCCATGGGATGAGCAGCTTCCCTCTACCCATGCCTTTCCACCATGCCGTTTTCTGCCTTGGATCCAGCAGACCGTGGACTGAAAACATGAGCCAAAATAAACCTTTCCTTTAAGTTGTCCTGGCACCATGAAAGTGACTCAAACAAACGCACTCCCATTTGTTCCCTGGTTCTGAAAGTACCTGTCAGACACTGCTGGGTTCTTTCTAGTCCTGAGTTCTTTCCTAGGCCAGGGTCAGTGGTGTATTCCTTGTATTCTGCCACTATCAGAACGCTTGTCTGACGCAAGACATGTTTTCTACTTGGTTTTTATTTGTGTTGTTTTGTTTTGTTTTGCTTGCAGTACCAGGGCTTTTTGCACTGAACTACATCCCCGGCCCTCTTTCATTTTGAGAAATGGTTTCATTAAGTTCTCCAGGCTGGGCTTGAACTTTTGGTCTTCCTGCCTCAGCCTCCCATACTGCTGAGGTTACAGTTATGTACTGCTACACCTATCTTCACCGCTCGTATTTAAAGAGGAAGCAGTAAATGTGAGAAATGTGTCTTTAGCTTCTTCCTGTCTCTTCTTGTTTCCCATTCCCCCTGCTTCTCTCAAGTCCTGCCAAGCTCCATATTCCTCTTTAACACTTCCATCAGGGACCCCTAAGTTTCCGGCTCCGAACCTGTCCCTCTTGTGTGCGTTTTCACAGTGAAAGGGACCTGAGCACCTGTCAGCCAGGGCCTATGTTCGTGGCAAAGTCGTAGGGTGCATCCCAACAGCTCTGGAAGACCTCTGAGATGCCGAGGACTTACAGCACAGAACTGACCTGGGCGTGGTATGCAGCTGGGATCCACCTCTTCACACATGAAAGAAGAGGGCAGAAGGGCTTGGGCTGAGATGCTGTCTGTTGAGTGTTTGCTCTTAGGAGAGGGTTGAAGCATGAAGTCTACAGTTAGCAACTGTTGCATTTTAAGTGGCTCAGACATTTATCACTCTTAGATGAGAAATCAGCAAGTATGTTTTCAGTTTCCTAGGAAGGTAATTCTGTCGGCTTTGTTGCTTCTAAAGTCATTCTTTTTAGGAGATAATTACATTCAGAGGCTGTAGGGAAATTTGGTGTAAACTTTTTGTTTCTGTCTCATCACTTTTAATAGAGCACAAGTCGAATGTACATCAGGCTGCACATGGCCTGTTTTCCCTCTGGCTCTCCACCATAAGTACCTGCCATAATTCCTGCTCAGTGACCCCAGACCACCCTCAGGTCCAGTGGATGCTAGGACTCATTACTCCCATTTCTTCCAGTGAAAGGCTACAGGCTACCTGCTTATTGGGGTGTTAGTCTCACAGGTATCGAGGAGCTCCAGATCCCAGAAGGAAAGGAGGAGGGGTTTACCCTCAGTCACACTGTTGTGCAGACTCTCTGTGAGACACTTCTTGAGCATATTCCCAGAGCACACCCCCAGGAGACAGCTGACTACTTCTTGGGAAGATGGGCCCTTCTGGGGATAGACAGGGGCATGCTCAACTCAAGCCCACGGTGGCTCTTTGTGCACTCATATGGACATAGTGTGTGAGTGCCTACACATGTGTCTTCTTCCTTATTGCTGCTCACTGGGAAGGCCTGGCTCTTCCTGAACAGTGTAGGCGTGTGTGTGTATGTGTGCACGCGTTTGTGTGTGTTACTGTGCACCTGCATGTGATTCCCTAATGCTGCCCGCTATGAAGACCTGGGAGCTGGCTTTTCCTACACAGTGCTCGGTAGAGTATAGTTTCTATTGTTGTTGTTTTCAGTAGAATGAACAATTAGGTCTTTCATAGAAATTAGATGGTCATCTGACATTTTAACATGAAACATTTTGTCACAGATTATCCTTAGGTGTTCCATCTGTATAGTTTTTCAATAGATCTCTATTTTTGTTACCCCAAACAAAATCACCCAAATAGTTTCTGATGAATTTTAATAAGAGATAATAGGAAATAAATATATCTTTCCAAATGGGAAGGAGATGAATAGATGAGGAAGAGGAAAGGGAGATGAAAAAAGAAATATAGATATACCAACTCCATGCAAGGAATGTACTTGCAGGTACCACAAACATGTACTGGTTAAAAAATTGTTTAAAGAAAATACATTAAAAAGTAATACTTGTTGTTTTGAGATTGTGTGGCAGGTGTTGCTAGGCTGGGTCCTCAGCTACTTCTGCTCTGACTTGGATGTGAACAGGAGGAATAAGAGAAATAGTCTGGGTTTTGCCTTGGTCTGCCTTCTGGGGTGAGATGACACCATAGGCGTATGCTCCTGTCCCCTGAGTGGTTCATGCTGTGTTAGAATAAGGCTGATATCTTCTTTTTTTTAATCCGGTGGGTGCAAGGCTGCTGCATGTCCTGTCTTTAGAATGAGAAGGGCACAAACTGTAGATGCATG